GTCCCAGTTACACCACAACCTCTATTCTGGGGTTCCCATTCCATTTGGCATTCTAATTTGGTGTCCTTTATTTAAACTAGGCTAAATGGGTGCATTCCTTACAAAGGACTGGAAGACTTCATGTCCAATCAAGAGATGCTTCTCCAGCCCATTTGCTACCTTAGCATCACATTTTAAGAGGGCTCTGATTGTAACAGGTTCAGTTTTGAACTGGCCCTGAGGAAGTGGGTCAGGAGTTGTGTGGGCAAGAGGGAGGGATGAGAGCTGTTGGAGAACTGAGATGATTTTTTTTTCTTTTTAACATTTTTTTATATTAGTAATAAATTCAATGGAAATTCTCCAACAGCTCTCATCCCTCCCTCCTGCCCACACAACTCCTGACCCACTTCCTCAGGGCCAGTTCAAAACTGAACCTATTACATGATCAAGCAAAAACAGTGGGAATGATGAATATGTTATGGTGTCATCATTTGGAGTTTGGGGTCCTTGGGTTTGCCCCAGGGTGGTCCCCAGGAAAAGGGAAAGTTCCAGGTTTCCTGCCCCACCCAGAAGGAGGCAGGAGCTGAGCAGAAAAAAGAAGAGAAGGGAAGGAATCTGAGGAGGAAGGAAGCAGGACAGAGAGCCAGGAGACCTGAGGAAGCCCCATGGAGCATGGAGACATGTGAAGAAACCGAGTTTATCTCTTGGCCCTGGACTGGTTGAAAGAGATGTGGGTGAAAGACTCGTAGGGAGGTTGACTAGGGCAGTGTTCATATTGATTTTGATTTTGCTCTTTTCCTCCCAGACTTATCTGGCCATGTCTGACCCTTTTCGATGGGTCCCGGCCAGAAGGTGCTTTAGTCTTGTGCTTTGGACCAGTCCCTTTTGGGTTGACTTTTGCCCATGAGGGGATGGGCAAAATCAAACTTCAGGTGTTTGATGTAGAAATTATATTCTTTGTCTTCTGTATTGTATACTCACTGTATTAAAGTCCCTTTTCACTAAAGTATTTTATAAGTTTTATCTTGATGCAGCGGCAGGTGGGCAGATGGCAGAACCTATTTAGAGCAGGCAAGTTTGGGGGTTCAGTGGTGCCCCTCTCTCCCTGCCCTGTAACAGGTTCACTATGGGAGAGATTTCACCAGAGCTCCCCTTTCAGCGGCACATGGTGA